ATTGGATTTTTAGAAGATTGTATCATGGATATTCCATAACGCCCATGAAAGGCTAAGGTAATAACTGATACCATGAGCCACAGATCGGAAGATAGCTTAAGCCTACGTAAAGGCTGATCAGAAGGAAGAGAAAACTAAAGAATTACATCACCCAAGTAAATCAGGAGTCTGATTATTGGATCTAGAAAAATTATAGAAGTTGTGCTTGAGAACATGACAGAATCACTCTTAATATTAGATGTTCAAGAGAAATAATACAACAACCATAATCTATAATGTCTCTACAAGGAAGCCAGTTAGAAGAAGTACCAACCTCATAAGAAGTCAGTACGAAGCTCCCACCGGATTGTGTATGTACCAGAGGTGCGAGTATTATAATAGAGATTCAAGTTATGGATGTGAATTACACCTAGGTAAAAGGGAGGTCGCGAAAGAGATAGAAGATACGATGCGAGATTTTAAGGTAAGTGAGGTAAAGGTGAACAACGTACGAGATACTCAAAGGCAGAAGATCGTGAATAGTCCATACTTCAGATAGAAGGCTATAAGCACGGGGATCCAATAATCGGGAATGATAGCGGCATCGTCAGCGGCATGTTTTCCAACCTATGGTTTCTAAGTACTGAGAGATCTAGTTAAGAGAATAGGGAAAAGTTGGAGACGATGTGATGTCTCGCTTGACGTTCCAGAATAACATAAGAAAATATATGGTGCAAGCAAGTTGAAGGAAAGTTTATAATTGGATATGTATAGGTCGCAAGCTAAAGTATGGTAGAGCGATAAAGTTTTAAGGAAGCATGAGTAAGGATGAGGAAAGGCAAGTGAAAAGGTGACGAGAATGGATAAGTCTTAGGATTAAGCCCATGAAAACAAAAAGAGCAGATAGTTTCTCTATGTTATACAAAGCTCAATATAGCTTTAATGAACTCAAAGGAGTCTAAGATTAACAGCATTTAGAAGGAATGAAATGTTGACCTGGTAATAAAATGTAGGGTATAATTGTGATAGGTACAGGATAACGTTTGGGCCTTCGTTTGAATAATGATTTGCAAGAGAAGGAGAAAAGATTTCGATGGCAGCACGAAATTAGAATACCCCCACAAGGTGAATCATATTGAGACACTATAAGATACGATTATGGGAATCACTTCAAATATTCCTTGAGGTAATGTAATCCCTAGGGGCAAAGTATTACGTAAGAAGTTTCAAGTTATCAGTGGTATATTGTAGATCAATATTCGTGAATTCAACAAAGTACCGACCGAAGAACTTCAGTATACTCATATATGCCCAAAGGGACATCTTATCAAGCTCTATATATGAATCCTAGATATTGGGCACACTTACAAGGTCAAAATTGTACAGGCTGCATGATAAAAGGTAGTAACAGTTACAAGATTGGAAGGATTGCGACTACAAGTTGTGGTGTAATTAGGAGGCCTAAGGGGGGTATGCCCTGGACTTTGGACTCATTCACAGGACAGTCACCTAGATGGTAAGAGAAGTTCTAAAGTATTTGAAAGATATAAGTTATGAAAATAATAAGTGCATCAGTCAACATTCGAGGATGAATGTTCCAAAGGGGGGAATAATGTTACGCCCCGCAGTATTACATCGATGTTATGCTCTGCAGTAATATATATTGCGGTGATGTTATGCTTTGCGGTATTAAGTTATGACGATATTGCACCCTGAAGGATTGTACGTTGAATTTTTCATAAGGTAATTGACATCAGTCCAAGTAAAAGATTATTTGGAGATCATAAGGATTATGCTATTTCACAAGTGATTAGTAAATTCATAAAGGTGAAAGGGGGAGCAAGTCAAAGAAAATAAATTTTCTCCAAATTTGGCATTTTGGGGTAAAATACATCCCGAGCTAAAATACCCAGTATTTATGGACTTGTACCATGCAAGGTACCATATGACCACGGTAGTATAACATAAAGTATATATGAAGTATTTTAGTAATAAATAGAATTTTAAATAATTTGGGATAATTTTTAAATTATGAGTTGTATGAAAACCCTTGACTCTCGTAAAGCTGTGAACTTATATGAGTTGTAATAAGCTCACAGCTTATCCCACCCCCAACCCACGTGGCAAGAAGCCACAAAGATTTGAAATGACTAAGTAGTCATTTGGCTAGATGGCTAATATCGTCATAACTTAAGTCTTTTAAATCTTATCCATAGCATTATAAGGAATGCCTTGTAAAAAGGCTTCAAAAATCCAATTCAGCCGTTGGCTTATAAGCCAAGAACGTGAGGCAGAAGCAAAAAAAAATTCAGTTTAAAGAAAATCCAAGCCAAAGTTTCGTTCAAATTTCAGAAGTAGAAGCTTCATTTTATCATTCCAACATATTTCACGGAAGCAGAAGCTTCACTTCGATCAAATAATTCAAGGAGCAAGTATGTTAAGGCTAAGCTTTTCCTTCATTTTGCATGATATCGTAATTACACAAGTTTGATAACGAGGCATAGAGAAAAATTCGTATCCCGGAATTTACATATATTTTGCTAGTCTCGCAAATTACATATATTTTCCTAGTTTTGTAAGTTACCATATTCTTTTTATCGGGACTGTGNGATATATATATATATATATACCGAGCCTTATAGGGCCGGACAACTATTTTACTTACTATATTGAAAGAGTTGAGTCAGTATCAACAGGTAAGCATATCTTCAGATTATCCTTGACTTCCAGCTACTTGCAGTTATTATATTATCAGTTCAGTTCCAACTTTCAGTATATTGCCTTACATACTCGGTACATTATTTTGTACTGACGTCCCTTTTGTCTGGGGATGCTGTGTTTCATGCCCGCATGTCTAGACAGACAGGTCGAGAGCCCTCCAAGTAGGCTATCAGCTTAGCAGAAGATGTTGGTGCGCTCCATTTGCTTCGGAGTTGCATGTTTGGTTAGTATGATTTAGACGTGTATTTCTTGGTATGGCGGGACTCTGTCCCGACCTTTATGATATTTATGTACTCTTAAAGGCTTGTAGACATATGTCGTGTACGTGAAAGATTGTACGGCTTTGTCGGCCTATATTTTGAATTTATAAATGATCATGTTGGCCTATTATGCTCGTATGTCACGTGTATATGATGATGTAATAAGAGAGATACGTTACATTGGTACTCGATTGAGTAAGGTACCGGGTGCCCGTCACGGCCCATCGGTTTGGGTCGTGACATGACCCCTATTTATCAATCATGTGGCTATGTTCTTGTGTTTGACCCGAGGTTAATAGGTACGGTAAATGTGTGTACGACTTCGAGGGTGTTGCACATACTTTCATCGACACTTTTCATCATATAATAGGTCCACATGGTGAGTCTATTTTTCATTAATATAGATAGTCCCTTCACTTTCTGTATATTCTCAACTGAATATTTGGAAAGTGGAGAGTTTATTTATGGTGAAAATATTTTGCCGCCTCTTCCTGAGATCATTATGATGTGTTGCACAAGTGAAGAGACATGCACTTCTTCCATTTAATGCTCGAGACACGTGTCTTGTTGTAATTGGTTCTGAAGTTTGCAGCGGTTTTTCAAATACATACGGCTCTGTCAATTTGATATGACCATCTTATAATGACAATTTATGATGACGTATTTTTTCCTTATAAATACGAAACGACAAACCCTTGTAATTTTCCTTCTACTTTCTTTTATCTTTGTCTTTTTCTTAAAATTCCTTCTTTATCTTTATTCTTGCCTTCAACTTCCTTTCTTCATATGTTCAATGGCTTCCAAATAATCTATTTCTACTGTTCCTACTGCTTCTCCTCGTCGCACTATTATAGTCGATGATTTTCCCTCAGCATCTCCGGTTAAGACTAGAAAAATGGGAGGACGGCTTCGTAACCTCGGTTCTATGGTAAATAGAAATAGCGCATCTTCCGTTAAAGGAAGTTCTTCAAAATCTGCTTCTTCTTCCAAATCTAGAACTTCTTCTACTTCTAAATCTTCTACCAGGGGTAAAACAAAGGTTGATAATGAACCCTTAGTCGAACTATTAGTCTCTGAGATTGTTTCTTAAAAGTTTAAAAATTGTTGTTATTTGTACAGAATGAAATAATAAAATAAATAAAAGAGAAGGTCGTAACAAGCATGTTGACCTTTATCCTTATCTCATCAAATCTGGTCATCTTCCCTTGTTCGTAGAGAGTGCCGATAGAGATCTAATTTTCCAATCGAAGCTCCTGGTAAAAATGATCGAATAACCAACTATCGTGATGGTTATTCATTTATCTACACTTACTCCTTTACCCTCAGGTTCGAATGTCCAATAGACCCGGTAATCATTGAATTCTGTCGGCACTTCAATGTGTGCCTTGGTCAAATAGGCCCTATAATTTGGAAAGCGGTAGCGTGCTTATGCTACTTGTCGAATTTGGTTTTGACAAATTTTACTTTTCATCATCTTCTACACTTGTACTCCCCCCAAACGTTTCCGTGCTGGAATTTTTTCACTTACGGCAAGGAGTAAACATGTTATTGTTGGTCCCGAGGATGATCACGATAACAGGTGATATAACACTTTCGTCACTATTCCAACTCGGGAGCTAGTGGGATATAAGGACATGCCTTTCCCTAAAAAGTGGAACTTTAAACATAAGTTCCCGTCACTATCTTCAATTTTTTTTTAAATTGAAACCCTAATTCTTCAATATACATATTTTGCAGCAACCATAGAAGTTTTTGGTGAAATTCCAGACTTTCATGAGTGGGTGGCATTGATGCTATTTTCTACTCCTATGGATCAGAGGAATTGAAAATTTCTTTCTAAAAATCTTGGATTAAAAGTGAAAACTCATGGTAAATTATTGTTTGTATTGTGCTTATTTTCGTGTTTATTTACTTTTCTTTTTCAACACTTTGTTTTCGTGTGCAGGATTCGAAATCTGTGGTGTCCCCTTTTCTTTCGCTCCTACTTGTTAGACTAGATATCAACACAGCTCATGAGCATATCTTAAATATGTCCTTTTCAAAGAAAAAAAGTTAGGTTGTAGTATGTTTAGTGGACTTTGTTGTCTCCATATTATTCCCTTGCATTAGTATTGTGCCTTTGTTAGTGCTTAGTGTTATTACTTCTCTCTCTATTTTTCTGGTTATTACGTTGTTGGATCTTTCTGGATTTCTTTGCTGTTGCTAATACACTTTCTTTTTCTTTCTTCTTGTACCGAGGATCTACCGGACTAGGAAGCAAATAGTTTTGGAGGATGACCAGAGTAGTCCCCAAGCTCAACCTTTAGAGACCATGCAACTCAATTTTGTTGATGAACCAGAAGATGTTCTGACTGTAATTTCGGATGTGAAAGTTGCTGAACCATCTCTAATACTGGCCACAGACCTGATTGAAGAGTTGTTTGATCAATGGTTCGGGGACCATGGTGGTGAAGACCATCATGTTGATCTTATTAATGAAGGTCAACTTCCCACAGCTCCAACTTAGTGCCTTCCGTCCCTGTTCAAAACAAAGTTGGCCCTTCTCAAGAAAGGAAGGGGCACGTGATGGTGAAAGTCCTGGAAAATATAAATCTTGTAAAGAGACCTGACCGGGCTTGTGTATGGCTAAAACCAGTCATTGGACCTCTTGAGAAAGAAAAGTTGTAGTCGCATTGTTTAATTACCCTTGCAAATGATATTGTTCATTCAGCTCTTACGGTACGATATATTTTTATCCTTTTCTACTTCTTAAACAACTTTTTGTAAATTCTTATTCTTAGATAAACTTAAATGGGACAGAGTTTATGCGAAGGATTGCTTGGACTGGACAACAAGTGGAAAAATTATCCGCGGAGGCTTATAACTAGAAAGCACAATTTGAATGCCTTTAGTTTGAGAAGGAGGAGTGAGACAAAGAAAAGGAACTTCTGCAACAACTGCTCCAGTTGACAACCGTTGAGTTAGGTACGATGAAGGCCGAGGCAAGACAAGCAGAGAAAGAAATGGTTAAAATGGAGGCTAGCTCTACTAAGCAACACTCCAGGGCCACAAAGGAGATTCGAAGGTTGAAAGACTTCTTGACCAAAAAGAGATATACACAGGTGAACTAGTTCAGGAGTTTACTCAAGCCAAAGAGGATCTCCGTGCCTCTTCTAAAAGGATTCAATTCCTCGAGTATTCCTTGGAACCTTTGAAAGTTTCTTATGATGTTGCTGAAGTAGAGAAGGTGAACTTACAAGCTGAAGTTGATCAATGGAGAGAAGTATGATGCCCTCAAGGGCAAATTGACTATGGATGTAAGCTGAGCATATCTCCATACTCGCTTTGTCACTTTGACTTAAGCCAGTCAAGAAGGTTTTGACCATGATGCTGCACTTATAAAGGCTAAGGAAGCCATTGAAGTATCTCAGCAAGGTCAAAATTTCCCTAATCCTGAAGAAGAGTGTTCTAGGGGTGGTATAGGTAAAGAAGATGTGGAGGAAAAACCTCACCCTCCATCTTCGAGTCCCCAAGCTAATCCTTCTCAACCTGCCTATCCTTTCCCAGTTGTTACTCCTTCACAACAAGTCGTTTCTCTAGATCATTAGCTTTTATTATTTTCAAGTGTTTTTATCTATCTTTGAAATATTTTTTGCAAACTTTCCTTGCCTTTAATACAAGTTTTCTTTACTTTGCTAGTTCAATATTGTCGAGTCTTTTATGCATTACTTCAGTAAATGCTTTTTGCAACCGTAACTAAAAACATACTGTCTTAATCATAAAATATGGCCCTTTTATGCAATCAACAGTCTAGAGTAAAAATATCATGTTGAACGTTTAGAGTAATTATTCATTTGTGTGAATATTATAACTAATTTTCTTGAAATTCTTCTTGAGGTGTTCTTCTTTCCATAAGATGAAACCTTCATATACTTATATAGTCCCCACCGTTTGAGTTTGAAGCATGAAAACTTGAATACTAGATCTTCAAATAAACTTTGACGGCTTCTTCCCTTGGTCTTTTCCCTAAAAGAAAACATGCATGAAACTCGGGGCTTTTCTTAGATGAAGACTGTGCTCAACCCTTTCCTTCAGAATTATTATAACCTCAACCAAAAATAATTAAATATTTTGCGTCTCTTTTTTTTGTCTAATGTCATCATTTGATCCGTTATCTTTGTGCCTATCATCTAAAAATATTAGTAAAATTTATACGAACAAATAAATAATCGATTAAAAGATATGTGACCGTGGGTGTTTCTTTAGAAGTAGTACTTATTTAAGTGTATTACAATCCAATTTTAAGGTAATACTTTTCCTTCCATAGTTTCCAACTCATACGCTCCTTTTCTAGCCATGTCTCGAACTCGATACGGACCTTCCTACCTGGGACCTAATTTTTCGGAATTAATTGCTTGGTAAATTGGAACACTTTTCTAATAACAAAGTCCCCAATTTCAAATGTCATAAGTTATCCTGTTGATTTTAGTATCACTCTATTCTTTGCTTCTGAGCTACCATTTTTATTAAAGCTAACTCCCTTCGCTCCTCAACTATGTCCATATTCGTACGTAGTGCTTCATCATTCGATAACACAGTTACTTGATTATATCTCAGAATTATTTTTCCTATCTCCACTAGAATTATAGCTTCAGTACCTTAAACAAGTGAGAAAGGAGTTTCTCCCGTACTTGTTTTTGGCGTGGTTCTATAGGCCCACAACACTCCCAGTGCCACTTCTGGCCATTTGCCTTTAGCTGCTTCCAAGTGCTTCTTCAAATTGTTTGTAATTAGTTTTTTTGTTGACTCCTCTTGTTCGTTAGCACCAGGATGATATGGTGACGAAGTTATTCTCTTGATTTTTCAACTTTCAAAAAATTCAGTCGTTTTTTATCCGACAAATCAGGACTATTGTCACATGTGATTTCCTTTAGTATTCCAAATCAACATATTATATCCTCCAAATGAAGTCTATCACCTCTTTTTTTCGTACTTGTTTGAAGGTCACTTTTTTCTACCCATTTAGAAAAATAATTAATCAAAATCAACAGGAACCTTACCTTTCATGGCGCTTGCGGCAATGGACTTACTATATCCATTCTCCATTTCATAAACGGCCACAGAGCGAATATGGAGTGCAATGGCTCTGTTAGTTGATGTAATTGATTCACGTATCATTGACACTTATCGCATCTGTTTACAAAACTTTCTGCCTCTTTCTCCATTCAAGGCTAATAATATCTAGCTCTTATTAGTGATTTTACCATCGATTTACCACCTGCATGATTACTACAGTGCCCTTCGTGCACTTCTCGCATAACATATTCAGTTTTTCCAGGATTGAGACATTTAGCCAAAGGACCACTAAATATTTTCCGATATTTTCCTTCCATTGAACAATAGCGAGCAGCTTGATTTCCTAGCCATTGAGATTGTTTCTTGTCCTCAGTTTATATCCCATGCTGCAAGTAATTTATAAATTTATTTCTCTAATCCCATGTAAAACTAGTAAAATTTATCTCGCTTTTTTTTTATTGAGTGCTGAGTAAAATAGATGCAGCACTATTGCATTTTCAGAGTTAATTATATCTGCTACCGATCTAAGGTTCGTTAACTCATCTGCTTCTTGTAACGGTCCGATAGGTCATTTTGAGTACTAGTTTCCTTTTTAATGATTTGAGATCTTTTATAGAGTTATATGAGGATTTATGACTTGCGTGCATGATCCATGTTAATTTTCGTAATGTTTAAATGTGAATTTTAAAGAAAACTTCAATTTTGAACTCGAAAATGGCTAGAGCTGACCACATTCATTAATGTTGATAAATGGCATTGGATCGGTGTTTTAACAATTCTGGTAGGTTTATATAATACTTTTGGACTTGTACATATATTTGGTTGGGGCCCCGGGTGACCCGAGACCATTTCGACACTTAACGTGAAAACTGAAATTTTTGTGTTTTGGTATTTGATTATTGATTTTAGATGTTATTTTGATGATTTGATCTTATGATCAAGTTCGTATGGTATTATTATACTTGTATGAGTGTTCAGATTGGAACCTGAGAGGCCCGGGCAAGTTTCGGATGAGTTTCAAACTAATTTGTTAGGATTTGGGATTGTTGGTGCTGCAGACCTTGCATTTGCGATGGTCCATTTGCAAATGTGAGCCTCACATTTGCAATGATGAGGAGGTGCTGGGCAGCTTTGCTTTTGCGAAGCTTTGTTCATATTTGTGGAGATTCCAGCCTTCTTGCAAAGGTATAATTGCATTTGCAAGATCGGGGGCTCAAGAACTGCTCGCATTTGTGACCAGTTGTTCGCTTTTGCAAATATCGCAATTGTGATACTTACAACTAGGTAAAATTTTGGGATTTAGCTTATTTTATCCCATCTTTGAGACTTAGACTCCATATAGAGGCAATTTTGGAGAGCGAATCCTTCCGAACTTCATAGCTTAGTAGCTTTAAATTATTTTTGTTCAATTTTCATTTCTTTTCCATATATTTTTACTATTAGACCTAAGATTACATAGAGTAGAAATAGGGCTTCTGGGTAGAATTTAGGATTTTATAATTTTGAGATTTAGGCCTCGAATTAAGATCGGATCTCAAAATAAATTATATATTTGGACTCGAGGGTGAATGGGTAATCGGGATTTGGTCTTAATTTGGATTTCGACTACGTGGGTCCGGGTTGACTTTTTGTTAACTTTTTCAAATGTGTTAAAGATCTAACCTTTTTGATACGAGGGTAGTTTGTCACACTTGTTTTGACTTATTTGAGTAATATTTGACTAGACTCGGGTTGTTTAGAGGCTTGTTCTAAAGGGAAAGCCGTGTTGGATTGTTGATCTTGTTCCGAAAAGAGGTAAGTATCATGGTTAAACTTGATTTGAGGAATTAGAACATGATTGATCTATTGCAATGTGAATTATATATCGGGACGACACACATGCAAGGTGCGAGAATATATGCATTATCATGGGTATAAGCATGCAGGGTGTTCCAGCTTACTTCATGCCTACCATGTATTTTCTTAGTTCGTGCTTTTCCTTACTATCTGCCATTACTAGTAAAAGATATGTGCCTTCACTTGTTAATTATCTTTATTTGTTACATGCTTCTATTTGTTAGTATGCTTTGATTTAATGTATGCCTTTACTTGTCACATGCTCTTTTCTATTATTAGATAGATGTTTTTCATGCTTCATGTCTTTACTTGCCTTATTGTCCTTACCTATTCTTTGTTTTACTTTACTGTGTTATGCTGTATTGTATGACCTTAGATTGTTCTCGTGTTACAAGTTTAAGTCTTGTTGGTATATTTGACCTTCCTTGTTCGTGCTTATACTTACTTGGTGAATTTATGCATTCTAGCTCTCTTAATATTATGTTGTGAGACTTACTATATTGATTGTTACTGAGCATTATCAAATGAACTGATATATTGGGATCGGGTTGTGCACTAAATGGTACTGTTATTGTTATTGGTATCGGGCTGTGCACTACAACGGTAAGGATTATTATTGATATTGATAATGTGATCGAGTTGCACGCCGTGATGGAAAAGAAGTCTTGCTGTGATTATTGGCTATTTTGCTCTGTTAATATTGGCTTGCCTAGCAAGTAGTGTTAGGCACCATCATGACCCCATGGTTGGGATTTTGGGTCGTGACAATTTCGTATCAGAGCCCTACGTTGCATACGTCTCACGAGTTATTAGCGAGCTTGGTATAGTCTTGAGGATCAGTACATAGACGTCTGCACTTATCTTCTAAAGGCTATAAGGCTTTAGGAAACTTCACTTTCTTTCTTTATCTATCGTGCAAATTTGTTCTCTCATAAAGTTTGAATCTTTCTTCGTTTATTCTCTCACAGATGGTGAGGATACATACTTCGTCCGTAGCTGATCAAGAGCTAGAGTCCCATATTACAGCCACTACCATGGGTAAGGGTTGAGACAAGGGCAGAGGTAGAGGCAGAACTCAGCCTAGAGCACGCACAACGACATTTGTAGTCATCAAACCCCAGGTAGCACAAGACGATGAGATTCAAATTTAGATCGAGCTGGTAGGACCAACTCATGTCCTAGAGGGGTTCATTGCTTTCATAGTGCTTCAGGATGCCTTAGTCCACAAGGTTGGCTTCATGGAGGGTATGGATCAGGTTGGTATGTTTCCGGTGGCACTAGCCACTTCTTAGACCCACGGAGGAGTTCAGACTCCCTCTACTCAAACCCAAGAGCAGATGGCCCATGGTTATTAGACCCCAGGAGTTATACCAGTTGGGGTGGTTTGGCCTATTATTGCTACACAAACTAGGGACAGGCCAGCAATGTCAGTTGATGAGCTGAAGAGGTTGGACAGGTTCACCATGTTGTTTCCCCCTCACTTTAGTGTGCACCTTAAGAGGATTCCCATGACTTCTTGGATCATTGCCATGTGATTTTGCGCAACTTGGGACTAGTTTAGTCCAATAGAGTGGATTTTGCCAGATGCATGAGTCAGCCAAGAGGTGGTGGCAGGTTTATGAGCTAGGCAGGACAATCGAATCACCTCCTCTCATATGGGCTCAGTTTTTGCAGTTGTTCTTGGAGAGGTTCATCCTACTCTCTTAGAGAGATGAGCTGTGCAGCCATTTCAAGTGCCTTTATTAGGGTAGCATGACCTTTACTCACTATGAGACTAGATTTATTGATTTGT